CATCCCCAGCTCTTTTCCTTATTCATTCTCTAGAGAAACTAGAATCTTCTCCACCATAAATCTACAATTGGTCAGAAGAAACTTTGAGCCTGGTGGTGAGCTGAACCACTGAGTATCCCAGTAATCCCCATGATATATTTATGACTATGACCCATGAATACAAAGATGGAGTTAATTATGCATTCCAGAGACTAAAAAGCAAGGGCTTTGCTTATGTGTTTTAAGTAAATGTGTGTGTTTCTTAATGAAGATAGCAGGTTACTCCATATTTCTTAAATATTTTACAACAATGTCCTAGGATAAGTTGTATCCACTAAAAATACAGTATCTTCCTGTTACTATTCAAATATGAAGTATCTGCTCAAGCGTCACCTCTGTATTGAAGTCTTGATCTTCAATGCTGCAGTATTCAGAGGTGGTGCAAGAGACATGATTGGATCATGAGGTGGTAGCCTCATTAGTGGCTTAATCCATTGATGAATTCATAGCTGAATGAGCTGTTAGGAAGTGGGGCCTAGGAAGAAGAAGTAGGCCACTGGAGGTGTGCTTTTGGAGGGTACATGATGGTCCCAGCCTCTTTCTTTCTGGATCTTTCTTGCTTTCGCTACATCCTGGCTGCCATTAAGTAAGTACTTCTCTACCATTCCCTCTCATCATGTTTCTGCCTTTGAGATAACCAACCATGGAGTGAAACCTCTGAAATCATGAGCCAAAATGCTTCCTTTTCTCCTTAAATAGTGTCTGTCAGGTTTTTTGTCCCAGGACTGAAATAGTAACTAATAAACTTCTGTTTCCATTGTGTGATTGGGAGGCTAATCTTTTGGAAGAGTTCATATCTTGCTCTGACAGTCTTACTGCCGAGAGAATAAAGTTTGAATTCTAGGCATGGTTTTCAAAATCCCTCATAATTTGTCCTCAAACTTCCTTTTCATTATTTTAATTTTTCCTGTTCAAATATTAAACTGTTCAGTACATCGAAAGGTTCAGAGAAGAATATAATGGGTATCTGGTTCCTATAGCTCTGATTAGACTGCTAGTTGGTTTGCTGTATTTGTTTCAAGAAAGTCTTACAGATAAATGAAAAGTTGCTACTCTTTTGCTTCTCTGTCTGCAGTTCAGTGTCATAGCTTTCATATTCCTGTCTTTTTTGCTCTAGAGAGAATACCTATCCTGAAGCTTTATATCATTCCTATCTATGTTTCATTACTCAATATAAACAAATCTGGCCTGAGAATACCCTGGTCTCAGTGCAAAAATAAACTGAAAGCAAAACAAAGAAGGGAATAGAATTAATATGAGAAAATGAAGAAAAGGAAACAAGGTCTTTGTAGATAGGAGGGGGTGAAGGGGTTGAAGGGAGGGTAGGAGAATGGGAAAAAATAGGAAGCAAGATGAATTATATCATCCAAAGTTACAAATTACCAACGACGAATGTCATTATATTGTATACCTTAAATGTAACAATAAAATTAATTTAAAAAAAGTCTACTCTTATAATAAATAGCCACATCTCAGCCATTCACAGGAGCTTAGATTTAGTCAGTTGCACACAACAAATGTTTGCACTGCCTTCAAATAAGGTAGTGTCTTACTTTTCTCATTGCTGAGGCAAAATACCCAACATCCAAAATTGAAGGAAGAAAAGATATTCTTAATAACAACAATAATGTTTCTTGATTCCTGATCTTTTCCTCATCCCCAGTTCTTTGCCTTGTTCATTCTCTAGAGAAACTAGAGATTACATTTTGTAGAGATTTCAGTCCATGGTCAGTTGGCTCCAAGGCAGGGTGGCTTGGCAAAGGGGTATCACTGAGGAGAAACAGCCTGTGGCAAGCATGCAAATGAGAGCATGTTAACCCTCTTAATGCCCCTTATATTTTATGAGGCTATCTGCCCTAAGGTGGGTGTAGCATTCACACCGTTAATCTTAGCCAGAACTACGCCAAACCAATCAGTGCATGGATTTAGTAATCATATACCCTGGATCTCAGGACACACACTCTAGATCCAAACATCCCTGAAAAGCACCCCACAACAGCATGAGGGAACATCTAGACTTAAGCCATATACAAAGGTTGAGCTGCAACCCACTGGGATTTCTTTATAACCCGTTTCCTTTTTCTATACCTCATTTCTATTTTCTGTCCATTATTGCTTTTTGACCATGCAGTAGACTGGAGTTCTCTGAATCAGTTGCTGCTGTTTTTCAGTTTCCACAAATTTATTGAAATTGACATGTTTAATCTTCTCTTCAGTGAGCATCCATCCAGCTGCCTTTGTAAGGGTAAGCAGCATTTCCACTGATGCCATAAAGTCCTTCAAGGGTTCAGGATAAGAGGTTTTACCTCCACTATCCCAGAACCTGTTTTGGCTTTGAGAGCTTCTCTATTCTAGAATTGCAAACCAGAGCAATTAAAATGTGCAAAATTGGAATTGTTGCATTTTTTCTTTTAACAATGTGTATCTATGGACAGTATATAGCATTGAGATTTAAATTTTCATATTAAATCTATGTATCACATTCCAACTTGTTCTTGTTTTTGAGATTCATTCACGTTAACATCAATCTATTTCATTTGTCTATTGTAATTTGCTGTTTCATGCCAATGTAGGAATATATAAAAATGTATGTATCCATTCTCCTACTAGAGAACACTTATTTTTTTTCTAATAGTTCTGTGGCAGATACTTTTGTGCATGCTTCCTTATGCAATGCTGTGAGCTTTTCTAAGGTAGTGTTTTATCAATATTGCTTTTTGCTAATATATTTTGAAAATAATACAATTAAGCTCAGGAAATAATCAATCCAAAAACAAATTTTACTAACAGTTCCTTGAGAATTTGCCATAATGAGACAATGGAAAATTTTCTCTTGTCTCATAGTTAAGAAAGGATCTACTTCTGAACACTTTTTTTTTCGGTGACCCTTTAATTATGGGGGTATGCTTTTTCTCTGGCTGCTAAGAAGCTTGGCACAAAATCTGTAGTTCAATTTGGAAACTGCAGTACTGTATAGTTTGTATTTTGTGCACTAATCTCTCCTTGGCTTAATTATTTTTTCCTTAGCTTTATCCCCTCCACTATTCTTTGTGTGTATTTCTAACTGAATGCAATGGGTTCACCCCTTGGTGAGTGCAAAGCTGATAAGCACACACAGAAGATAAAAGAGTGAGGAAAGGCTTACTACTTGTATAAGTAAGGAGTGCACTGGAAAGAATTCTCAAAGCAGAATTAACTTGAATAACAGAAGGAAAGGGCTATTGCTGGGGATACTTATACATATTCATGCAGAAAAGAAACATCATCATGTACAGGACAAGTAGGTGCATTTCTAAGAATACTAAGTTCAAATCATATATTGCATGTTCAAAAATATGGTAGACAGGAGAGCCTCTGAATTTTATATTATAATAAGAACTTTGTTCTAGGTAACCTAAAAAGAGTAAGAGTGACTGTGATTTTGGCTGGTTTCTTATAAATTTCTCTGGAGGACTTTATCTGAAACAAACACTTTTTCAAGGAGACTTAACAGTTAAGCACAGTGAGGATGATTTGCATATGTAGCATCCTTTTTACCTCTCCATACATAGATGATTATCCCTAAAAGTAATTGTCTAGTGACTAACATATTAGTTGACTGTGTATACATCCTAGAATCACTTGTGGTGTGCAACGTAAATGAATCACTGAATAAATAGGTAGATGTTTATAGCCAGCCTAGACAGGGTAGAATGAGCTCATTAAATAAGTTGTATGCATTACAGAATTCTACCTTTAATTTATGTCAGGATATATTTATCTTTCATAAATAATGTAGTTTATAATTTCATAACTTTGACATTCTTTCCAAGGTAACTAAGCTCAACCCTACACTGTCTAACCTTTTAAGATTACAGATGAGATTGTCATGGCTCCTTGACCTCATCAGAGTGTTAATACATAAATCAAAAGGACAATTTATAAGCTTGCTAAATATTCTGTGCTAAGATGCAGGAACAAAAACAGCTAATAACACTCTGACACATCTGAAAGAAATCCATTAGTCATTGGATTCTTCTCTTTGAAAAAAAGAGATTAGACTTCTGAATGCCATAATCTGACTGAAAAAAGATTATATTTAAATCATATGCAAATTATCCCCACTGTGCTGACAGCGACTAAAAGCATTTATTGTATCTCTCATGTTTAGCTAACAGGAAATTTAAAGAGTAACTAGCTCTTTAATAGTATTTTAGGATCTACATCTTCAATAGCCTCGAATGAATAGGACTTTTATGTCCTATCATCATCTTTGCTGAACTTTTTGGGTTATGTTTTGAAGTCTTTTCCCACCGCATTTTAATTATGTTTCTGATATTCAACTACTTCCTTTCATTATAAATGTCATAGTTTTTTTTTTTTTTGTCATTATGGAAAGTACCTGTTCTCTAATGCAGTAAGTATTTTAAGTGTTTTTCCCCCCTCGGCTCTATTGTTCTGCTTAGACTCAGTTTATATACACAGATTTGGTTGGCAATTTTTTATTACTTCACAGGTCAAAATAGTTTCTGACAAAAAAGGAAAAACCAGTCAAGCCAGACATTTTTTCTCTATTGATCTAACCCATGGCAATCTGTCAATTTTTGGTTTAATGAAAGATGAAGTAAAATTAAATAGACATAAAAACCCTACTTAAATTATTTTCACATGAATGGATTTTCTTACTTCTCCTAATGCTCATTTCTCTAGTTTGATTCTATCTCCTGCATTTTCACAGTGCACTGGGAATGGACAGATCTGGCCCCCTTGAGTCAACAAAAAGACTCCAAATATCATCAAGACCCTCAAGTACTACTTTGCTAGTTTAATAAATTGCCAACTGAATCTTGTGTCTCATCCAGGAATTAATATTTTTCTTTGTTACCTAAATAACACTATAGAAAGATTTAAAATATAAGAAAAATCATCTGCAATCCTACCATTCTGATAACTATTCTTCCTCTTTTTTTTTCCAGAGAATTTATCTATAAGATGCTTTATTCCTAATTGCCTCCAACAACTTCTTCCCCCACTTAATTGAAAGAAGAACTATTTTCCATGAGAACATAAATTCAGGACAAGGATGAAACCAAATGACCCACTTAGTCTATTTGGTCTAGTTCAGAGTTTTCAACTCCAGCACCATCAACACTGCAGTGGATAATCTTCTATTGTGGGGGACCACCACATTCACTGAAGGATGTTTAATAGCATCTTTGGCCTTTACCCAGCAGACATTAGTAGCATCCCAGTTATAACAGCCCCAGATGCCTCTAGGCAAAGCCAAATGTCTCCTGAGAGCGGAGACTTGGCAAAATTGTCATAGTTGAGGACCACTTGCTGATGTTTTCTTATTTGAGAAAATACATTATGATGAAATTCCATAGTCCAGACAAGAAGGAAGAAATTGGCTTCAAGTGACACGGCAACCAATGTCTGAAGAAGACATGGTGATCTTCTTGAACCTTCATAATGAAGCACATCAGCTCTGTCAAAATCAGGACAGAATCATAATTCTGTGGGGAATGTATGTTTCCCATCACTTATGTGGCTCTGGAACTTAACCAAAACCCCTAAGTACGGCAGTACTTTGCATGTTTTACAAAGGGGGAAACTGAAGCCCCACTAGTAAGTACCCTGCCTGCTAGTAAGTGTGGGGAATTCAAGATTCAAACTCTGCGCAGTAGGTTGATAAAGCTTACAGCCTATCTTTCACTATTCCACAGAGTTGTGATGTGTGACCCGGGACTCAGGCTGAGAGCAGGGCACAGCCAGAGAGGTAAGCTGTCTACAGACCCCTGGCAGTGAGTGGGGCGGGATTGAGGGATGGGATTCTGTTATTCTAGGAATCTGAGTCTTTTGTTTGATTGCTCAAAAGATGCCAAGGATTTCACATTCTGATTCATTTTCTATCATGACTGAAGGATCATGTTGGTCTGGGCATTCTTACTAAACCACACTAAGCAAAGATGGTATAGGAGTGGGAGGATGGAAAAGCTAAAGCCTTGGGGTCAGAAGTCCTGAAACCTGCCTTGGGCTCTGTGAATTGGCAGCCCCAGAGAAGCTGTAAATGAGCAAAACCTGTCATTTCTCACTGAGATTGGCTTGTCTTTTTCCTTTTTAAAAGAACAAGAGAGAGGAGAATTCCTGAGAGATGTTTATATCAAGTTGAGTCTTCAGAACCATACAGCTGTGAGTCTGGAAGGCATCTGCTAACTCCTGTGTTCTGCACTGTGGGTTATGAGGTTGAGGGTGGGGAATGGATTGCTTAGGGCATCTACAGAGATCCTTAGCTTCTGAGTTGCAGGGGAGGAGAAGATGGGATGGAAACAGGCAAGAAAACTCTGGAAGAAAGAACTAAGATGTCTAGTGGAAGATTCCATTGCTTCTACTGTGTGCTGGTGCTGTGAGTTCTCCCTGTTGAATACTCATGAAATCTTGCATAAAATGTGCATTTTTCATTATTGCATCATGGAGCTGGCTCAGCCACTGGATGTGGGGACTAGGTCTCAAGGCAGCTTCAGGAAGCTGGCTCTTGAGGTCTGGTTCGTCTAGGTTGCTATATTGATCATAAGAGCATGGTAGAGCCAGACTCACCAGGATGTTCCTATCACCAGACACCCTACACTTATCAGCAACTGTCAACTTATGAGGCAGATGATTTATTTTGCTGTTTTGCAGTTCTGGAAAGTGAAGCTCAGGAAAGTGATGCCACTTTCCCAAGACTGACAAGGTAGTATATAGTAGAGCTGGCAAGCCCAGCCTCTTAACTGCAACAGACTTCCTCCTGAGGAAAGAAGGCAGGCTTCATATATTTTTCTGTTTTTAGGTTTCTTCACTGGACAGAGGAAAATACTCTCTGGAGGCAAAAAAATATACAGGGGTTTCACTTCAACCAATGACATCAGTCTCACTTCAGGTAGGGTAGGGCAGACCTGGGAGAAATGGCTTCCTCCATCAGACTGGGTCTTGTGCATTCCTCAGGATTCCTCTAGAGACCAGGCAAACACATGACTGTCCTCAGGCCGTTGCTCTCCTTATATTCTATAAGGAGGGCTTAGTGACTGCTGTATCAGTCCTTTGTGGTGAAATTTGGGAGTGACCATATTAGCAACCCCATCAGTATAGATTGTCTGGTCTTGTCTTTGCTGCTGAAGTCTGTGTGTGCAAAGGCACTCATCCAGCAGTTAAATGGTCTCTGAAAGCTGGCACTTCAGATAGAAATGTTCCTTAACTTTCAATGGGTTATGTCCCAGAAAATCCATCTTAAACTGAAAATATCCTAAATCCAAAGTGCACTTAATCCACCAAGCCTATCACACATCCTATAGCTGAGCAACACAGCACGCTGTAGACCATTGGCTATGCTCCTTGCTATTGGTTGGGCTGACTGGAGGCTGTGATTAGCACTGCCCAGTGTCACAAGGGAGGATCAGATGGCATAAAACTATCCTGGGGAAAAATCCAAATTAATAGTTCCAAGTATGGCTTCTATGGAATACATGTTGCTTTCCCGTCATCATAAAGTAAAAACAAACAAACAAACAACAATCCCAAACAAACCCAAAAAACAATAATCATAAATCAGAACCATTGTAAGTCAGAACCACTGCACCAGTGATGAATGCTGCCATGTTTGGAAGAGACTGGAAGTCAGTATGGTGGCCTTGGCTACTGTTTGGAGGTTTCAAGAAGCGTATCAAGGAGAAGCAAAGAAGAATCAAGAACTCTTTCCAAGAGATACAAGATCTGGATCTGAGGAGGAGCAGAAAACTGGCCCCCAAACCGCAACATGAACCCAGCAAGCCTGGCTCAAGTTGGAGGAGCCAAGAGTGAAAACCCGGTGAGCATTCACGATCAAGTTCGGGTACATTATATGCACAGTCAGCTTTTGCAAACGGTCTTGGAGATGACACCAGAGTGTGACACACACTTACCACTTTCCCAGAGAGCTGGTCAGATGTGTACTCAGGAAAAGGAAATACACAAAAACTGTTAGTAAACACTTTTGGGACTCTGGGGAAGGAGTGAGCCATTCAAGTGTGTGTGTGTGTGTGTGTGTGTGTGTGTGTGTGTGTGTGCTGTATAGATATTAGAAAACTTCAATTTTCTATGTGCTAGTGTTTTTATAAATGCTGAGGATCAGACAGTGAACACTGTAAATAAATCAACACTTATGTGGAGATCACTACATCTATGTCTACTTAGTATTTCTATGTGTGAAAATTAATGTGTATATATTTATCAAGTTGCATCCACTTAAACCCATACTGTAGCTAATAAAATATTGATAAACTGCCATTCTTTTTTAAAAGAACCCATGATGAGTGTAAAATTTAGAGCATTTTCATTGGTTTTACAAATTATGCTGCAAAATGCAAAAGTATTTTGTTCTTGCAATTAGATTAGCTATCCCCTACTATTATCTGGTTTGACTTAATCTGGTTTGACTGATTGACTTAACAACCTTCTTATGGAGAAATTATACTACAGAAGGTAACTTCAGTCCTCAGTGCATCCAAATCATCACGATGTAGAGTGGGAAAGTTCTGAACGGCAGGCTGCATTTTGGTCATTTTAAACAGGATTTGCTGAGATTGGACTAGAGTTTTGTTTTGATATAGCATGAATTGCCTCAAGGTATCTGCATTGTTCAAACAGAATAAGACATGTGCAGAAGTGACTCATCTGTGCAGTCCAAACTTTCTTCTGGGCATTTAATCTGTTTTTCTATTTCAAAACTTGGGAAATAATCCAGTACAGTTGAAAACAACAGTTGCATATTATTTAACAATCAAGCTTTCTTAATGTTTTAATTTTGGTGCTGAAGATGGAACCCAGTGCCTCGCACATACTAGGCAAGGGCTCCACCATTCAGTTTGAACTTGAACTTCTTTACCTATATCTTGTTTCCAAGAAAGAACCCCATGGGACTTTAATAATATATTACTATACTACAAAGTCATCTCCAAGACCATTTGCGAAAGCTGACTGTGCATGTAATGAACCTGAACTTGATAGTGTAAATATTACCAATCAAACAGGGTCTTGCTCTACCCTTCTGCATGCTGTATTACACACTTGCATGAAGTGTGGATCAGCCCCTTCAGCTCACTCCCTGAGCACACGCATTCCTTGTTTGCTCTTCAGCAAGGTTTGCTGGTGTGGCAATGGTTCTTCCCTCTGTTTCTGTGCCCTGAAAGCAGCATTGTGTAAGTTCAGCCCCCTGAACTGCTGGCAGTTTTCACAAATTGTTTACAATGCTCTAATTTTTCGCACTCCCTTTAAAAGATCTTTGTGTATGCTGATTGCAGAAGGTAATATTTCTGGCATCAGTAACCATGGTAATGAATTATCCTTCTCTCAGAATTAGTGCCAGCTGCACTAGTGTCTTGCTAGTAGCACCCTGGTGTTTTGCTAATGAGTGACTTTTCATTTGAGGTGGGAGGACATTTCCACTTCTTCACATTTTTGCTTGTGTTTTGTTAAAGGTTCTTCCTTGAGAAAAACATTTGAAAAGATAAATCCTATTTGGCAAAACCTTGATCCCCAAAGGAAAGCATTCCTAGCTCTAGAGAGTGCAGTATACAGAATGCAGTCCATTGAAGGCTCTGTGTGTGTATGTGTGTGTGTGTGCGTGTGTGTGTGTGTGTGTGTGTGTGTGTGGAGTCCTTTCACCCCACCCTGTCCCTCCGCCAACCCTGAGCATCCATCTTGTCTCAGTCCTGTACAGAGCGCTTTCCATCAGCATTCTCCTTTGATTACTGGAGAAAGGAGCTTAAATATTTTAAGGACTTATGTTATGAATAATTTAAGAGAAATAAGGAAAGCTTCTAAACTCTCTTTGAATTATGTAATGGGAGCCTTGAAATATGTTTGCATGCTGCCTTCTTAAATATTTTTTGGGGGAAGGGAGACCAAAGTGGAAATTTAAGCCATTATTGTCCTTTGCCTCATGACTACTGATGACACCAGGAGACACAGCTTCTCAGCCCTGCAAGAGATAAGAGCTTGCAGTAATGGATGCTTCTCCTACCAGCAAGCTATTGCCACCAGCAATTGGGAAAAGACCCCAAACCAGGGCTGCTTCTAACCTGGATAGCATTTTGAGAAGTCCTAGGAAAACTTATACCCAGAATCACCGCTGTATTTTCTTCTTTCATAGGGTCTGGGGATTTAGCTCAGTGGTGCTGCTGCCTGCCTGGCAAGTACAAGGTCCGGAGTTTGATCCCCAGTACCCAAAAAACCTAAAACAAAACAAAAAAGCATATCAATTTTCTTCTCTTGTGATAGTTTAGATATAGAATGAGATTTTGTGTGTGTGTGTGTGTGTGTGTGTGTGTGTGTGTGTGTGTGTGTAGCCACACAGGTCATGAATGGCACCTTGCTGTACCCACATTAAGGCTATTACTTTTTCTGCTGCTTTGTGTGCTGTGTGCATTTCCACATGTTTTATCCTTATGGTGATTCTTTAGCTTTTATTTCTTTCATTCTGCAGGGGAGAACACTAAGGCAAGGGGAGGTTGAGTAAATGACCCACATTGGTATGCCTGGGTGATAAATGCAGAGCTGCCGCTCCAATTCAGGGGAATCTGGTACAGAAGTCCTTGCTCAGTCCTGTCTCTCCACCCCGAAGGAAAGCTGATAGGAGGCTCTGTTGAGATATCAGCTCTGCCACTTGCCATTTGTCCCCTCTGATTTTCTTTATCTTACTGCATCTCTGTGTCCTTCCCTGTGAAATGGAAATCATCACACCTGCTTCCCAAGATGCTTGGGTGGGCTGCAAGAGAGGCAGAACTTACAAGCTTTATAGGACTCCAGCATGCCACTCAAGCAGGAACACCAAGGTGGTGAAGAGTGGTCTCCACTCTTTAAATTATCATCCTACTAAATTAGCTTGTAAGCTTTAAACACACAAGGACAAGAGACATTTTTAAAAGTATTGTACTGAAATTGCTACTATTTGAAAATAACCATCTTCCTTAGAGGGGTGAGCATAACATGTCATTTAAGAAAATAAGCCATAAATTTCTTGTGAATCCGTTTAAGCAGCTCAGAGCAAGAGTGAAAAGCAACTAGCCAGCAAAGTGAGGCCCTTTATTGAAGAAGCAATAGCAAGAACAGTGGCAGTTAAGCCAGTGGCATTGGGATGGTGGCACACACTTGTAATTCCTGCACTCTGGGAGGCTGAGGCAGGAGGATGGAAAGCTCAAGCCTACCCTGGGCAACTTAGCGACTTAGTGAGGCCCTGTCTCAAAATTTACGAAAGGAGAGGGGGCTGGGTATCTGGCTCACTGGTACAGCATCTCTGGGTTCTACCCTTAGGACCAGAAAAAAGAAGGAAATTACTATAGTTTCTCCTCAACCACAGGAGATGTGTTCTAAGACCCCCCCCAATGGAAAGTTCTAGAAATAAATAATTCAGAAATTTTAAATTGCATGCTGTTATAAGTAGTATTTGAAATCTCATACTGTGCCACTACAACCTGCCTGGGATATGAATCATCATCCCTTTGTCTAGTTTTTCCACACTGTATATGCTACCTGCCTCTTAGTCACTTCATAATCACTTCACTTCTCAGAGCCACTGTTGCAGTATCATGGGGCTTATCTTGCTTAACAGCAACACCAGAGCACCAGAGTAGTGAGGCTGGCATTTGCACAGTATATTGTTATAATTGTTCTTTTTTCTTACTCTCTTACTGTGGCCACTTTATGAATTTAACTTTATCATAGGTTAAGAAGAAATATAGTCTAGGTAAGGATTAGTGGCATGTATGTAGTTCAGACTGGACTTAAATTCACTGTTAGCCTCGGCTGGCCTTAAACTCCTGCCTCAGTGTCCTGAGTGCTGGGATTGTAGGCATCTGCCTCGATGCCTGGCTGTTCATTTAATATTTTTGGACCATGGCTGCCTCCAGGTAATTGAAACCATGGGTACCAAAATAACAGATAAGGGGGACTACTTATAGCATAACCACAGAAGAGGAATTTTGTCAAGGATAAGAACCAAAGAACATAAATGATACAAAATACCCCCCAAAAAATTATGTGTGAGAGAGAAAGGAAAGAGGGGATGGAAGGAGAATGAGAGACAGAGACATGACAGAATTTTATTGTCATATTTAATGTTCAATGAATGTCTTAGTGTTCAAAACAATTCCTCTTTCTTCATCTTGAAAATGATAACCCAACTCTGATTTTTCTCTTGGATATTTTCCCCATAGATTAAAAAAATTACATGAATATAAAATATACTTATGCAATTCTCTCAAGAGGTCTAAAATAATCTCTTGCTTTGAATAGATATTTGTTTTTGAACTTAGCTATTAGTAGCCAAAAATGTTAAATTCTTGTCTGAACTATAGTGAATCACAGTGCCACCAGGTTTATAGGTGTTGTCCTGTGAGAGAGCACAACTCTATATCCTTAGAAAGGCAACATCCATATTGCAGGGAGGAGTCACAAATGCTTGCCCTTCTGGGCAGCGGGGAACAGGGCAGACTTCTCTATTGGCACTGTGGGGTTTGGGGAGCTGCACAGTTTTCCTGGCAACAGAGCATTTTTGCACATGTCTATCCCACATGGGAAACTGTGAATGTCTTGGAAGGAATCCATTAATATATACTAGAAAGGACAGATGGTGAATGAAGGCGAGAGAATGCTACAGTGGAAAGGAGATGAATTAGCGTATTAAGAAATCAGCTCCTTGATATAAAGTGGCAAGTTTCCATGGACTACAACATGGGTTCACCTCACAGAGGAGAGGGATTTCCCAACAGCTTGCTCTAAAGTATGGCTTTGCCTTTGGCTCATCATAAGTACAGTGCTTGTGCAGACACCTCCTGCATAGCTTTTCCAATCGATCCCCTGCCCTCACTCCCATGGTCAGTCCTCTGGACACTGCTTCCACCATACTCCGTGTATCTTGCTTCTACCTGAGAAGGTGTAACGTGGTATGTGTGGATCTCCATCCAGCTGATTGTTCCTGGCATGTGCAGGGCTGGAGGTGACAGTGAAAGATGTCGCTGTGTGATGGAAACAGAGTGAGCAA